TTTTTTTTTCAGTTGAGTGTAAAGGTGTTGGATTGGCACGTTTCCCCAAAAATCATGCAAGATTTTAATTTATATATTTGTTGGTTGTTTTTAGAAACTGACATTGGCTTATTTAAATATAATTATACTAATTAGCGGTACGTAATTGTGATGAAAAAAATATGTTCTCGTACAATTGATATTATTTTTATAAGGAAGTGTAGAGGGGGTAAATTTCTCTAGCTTATTCATATTTAGACTTTATTGGATACATGGTCCCCAACCCAACCCAAGACAAGGTAGGCAACATTAGAGGACCATTACGAAATAAATTGAACATTGAGATTGCCAAATACTTTATTTCATATAAGAAAGAAAAACTACCAAAGAAGCTTATGAAATAAATCCGAATACTTTATTCATATTTAACATTTTTTATTTCAGTTAATTTTACCAAATACTTTTATCATATAAGCTAGTTTTTCGGATATAAGTCATAAGTTATAAGCTCTCAGCTAGCTTATCGGCTAGTTTTACCAAACATAGCTTAAGCAATATGTGTTTTCCATTACTCACATACTCCAATCTCCAATCCTTCGTTCCAAACAGTATGTAGTCATAAAATAAAAGCTCACACAATACAAGTACAACACGAATTCAAATTTTCATTTGAGCATTTACTAACCGAGCAGCCGCACGGGCAGCGGCTGACGCACGTTCAGCTGCAGCAATAGCAGCTTGGGCCCTTTCAAGAACATCTGATGGTTGTGAACTTACCTGAGCTACTGCTTGCACATGCTGTTTTCGGGCCAACGGCTCGATTGTGTGAGGACCAGAAAAGTTGCCTTCGTCTTGTTTATTTGTTTCGGAAGAAGTCTCTGAAAGCTGTTTGGAGGAATTATTATTCTCGATTTTCGGTCTGGAATGGGCATGAGATTGTGCGGCTATTTGTTTTGGCCCGTTCTGAAGTGCATGTTTGGTAGCAATAAGGAATAGCAGAAAATAACACACTACACAAATATTTTTTACACTTCACAAACACACACACATACAAAACGAAGTGTTACAAGTTTCACAAATATTCTATGCATATTTCACACACCCACATACAAAAATCATATTTTTCTATTTAATATTAAAATGTAATGAGTAATTTTAAATTTTTTTGACGAATTGAAATCTCAACAAATTCATATCACCCAAGCAAAGTAATTAGGAAGGAATCAAAATCCAAGGTACTTGAAAATTCGTAGGACTTTGAAATCTCTGTCCAAACACTATCTACAGTGACTGAAAGCGAGAGACCACCAAACTTAGAAAGTAGCAATTTGGAGAATAGTTAAATACCAGAAGATCCTCGGGTTTCTTGCGGAATTCTGCTTCTGTTGCGGATGAATCCCAATTGATGTTATATTCACGCGCGATTTCCTTCAATACTTTCAGCTTCAAATGCACAGGTGGAGCACTCACTGACAGTTTTTCAATGATCTGTGGGAAAAATGAAATTACTTCTATCATCAGATATTTACATATTGGTATATATATGGATCAACAAAATAAAAAGAATTGGGTCAAAAATCAAACTAACTGTACGGTTGACGCTGGTATCCGGACGAAGCTCGGATGCAGCAGCTATGAATTCTTTCCCATATTTTGACGCAAATAAATTCTTAACGTGTAATAGATCTGGTAAATCCAAACATCTTGGAGCTGAAAATATTATGCTTGCCACAGCTTCCCTCAACTCCGTAGGACATTCCCTGTTTTCAAGCAAGAGAATGGGACATAGCATCAATGAAACAAAAGTTCAAAAGGCGTAATTACAAGAACCACCCTTGAAGGATGGACTAATTAACGAGAAAAATACATGCTCGATTTTTATGGGGCTAACTGCAATATATTTGTATACGTAAGAATGGTTTTTCGACCTGGCTTTGGCAGATGAAGAGGGAGAGAATATAAGATGGAACCAAATTTCAGTTGTTCTTTTTACAAGCTTGAACTGCTCTAGGATTTTTTCGTAAATTCTCCAAACCTAAAGGGATGTGTTCTTTGTAAGTTGTAACTACCCCATTTAAAAACATAAAATATAACGCATGTGCATCATTGAAGTTGATGGTTTCACTATCAAAATCCGCATTATCAAGAATAATGACATATGCAAATACAACACTGATACTAGTCAAACACGATCATTTTAATAAGCTTGCACAAGTATCCTAATCTTCTATAGTCTAGGCAGGCGGAGAGAAATAGCATAGTTTCTTCTAGGTTCATCAACATCAATCATCAACATACCCAGTATAGTATATTCCCAACTGGTTGGGGTCTGGGGAGTCAGTTGTACGCAGACCTTACCCTTGTAATTATACAAGGAGGCTGTTTCCGTAGCGACCCAAGGTGGATTGCGTCGTCTGATATATTTTTTTCTAGAAACTTCACTTCACTAATAGAAAAAACACTAGAATCTAATTGAGCCATTTTGATCTAGTCCATTATTAGGACTATGCCAGGAGAATTGTCAATAATGACTCTTCCAGCTCCATTTGTAATGGACAAATAGTTTCTTCTAGGTTGTCACGGTTTAGAGGATAATGTTTATTACATTATATCTTATATTAGACTAGGAAGCTGCTCAGTATGCTAAAATATCCCACACAGAATCTCGAAACAGATCCTTATATAAGATTTATCATGGATAATAATTCAAGTGAAAACTCCCATAACACCTGAATGAAGTAAGGTTTGTATCGATTCCAATCTCTATGTGTGAAAGTAAACAGCACATCAAAATACAGTGCAGCATAATTTGTTCATAAAGGTTGCTATAAGGCAGCCTGACTGTTAGGCGGGTAAAATTGTCATACTTTATAAACAAGAATATAAATATACATGCTGTGAAATGTTATATATTTTTTGATGTTGTGTAAAGTATGACATCTCATTGTAAAAGTGCGCATACTTGTGGGAAAGTATACCATAATTTATTTGATACTGGTGACTTTCATTAGAAACAAGACACATTCTAGCCACGGCATAAGTTTGATGACAATTATGTAATCCTCAAATGTGCAATTTATGCATAATGCTCATACTAAATTCAATGTCAATTTGATGGACAATACACTCGTTAACAAATAACAAAACTCAGAAGCCTTCTCTTATATCAGCAAATCAAGAGTTCACATTTAAGGAAAATAGTCAAGATATTGTTGTATCGAGAATAGAACTTGTTCATAATCACCATTTTGCATATTCCAAGTTCAAGAAGAACAAGTTATAATACGGACACACAGAACAATGACTTATAAAATGCTATCTTTTACCTCTGGCTTTCAAGAATAGGTACACGAGCAAGAACAAATTCGCAGAACAACTCCAATATCTCGTAAGCCTCCCAAGTGTTCTGTTCTCGAATAACATGCTCCACCTAAGCAAATGAATTGGTCAGAAATTGAAAAAAAAAAGCTATTACTATATCAGAAAATAGAAACTGATTGCACACTCTAATTCGAGCGATGGCTTCTTGGCCGGCCTGTAGAAATTCTGCGATTTCCTTCCTCATTAGCTTTAGCTGCACGTCTCGCTTGTTTTGCAGCAACTTGATTCGCGAGATTGCCAATGTCAGGCATGTTTTACTACGAAACAACATATTAAACAATCGAATAAAGTAGGTTATATTTCAAATATAAATACTGTGATGGATCATTTCAACAGAAAATTTAGAGATTTTTCAAACATTAATAGCAGTGATGCTATTGCATAATGAGAACACCGCGAATATTAGACAAGAAGAACATACAAATTCTTACATCTCAGTTTTAGTTCCTCCTAAGAACTAAGACTGAAAGACAACAATCACACAAGACATCAAAACCAAAAGACAACAATCACTCATAAACTGCAGGTTTAGGTCGCGCAAATAGGTGAAAAACAACACACTTTTTTCAGCAGAAAGATGAGATTTTCAACAATAATTGAGATTCGCCGGAAAAACAAACCCAGGAATCGCCGGAATATAAGATATTCAACAGAAAGCCAATATTTCGGATTTCAATCAAAGACGACAAAGGGAGTCGCCGGAAAATGATTTAAAACTAAAGCATCAAGTGAACTGAATTGATCGAACTGACCATTTTGTTCCCAGAAGTCCTCTGTTGAAGAGCTGATTCAGAACGGACATTTTGATTCGGAAGGCGGTGGAAGGAAAGGCGATTTCCACTTCCGATCATCGCATTGTTTTGAAAAAATTGTATGGACGCTTAGCACGCGTGCTTGTTAAACAATTATTAAGTATGTTCCCGTGTGATGCACGTGATAGAGATTTTAAATGAATATTTTCACAGTTCTATCCATCTAAATCAAAAAATCCAACAGAGTTATAATCTATTTTCTTCTCCTTTTAACCAGTGTGTTAAGTCTAAAAAACAATAGAATTGTAATCTATTCTCCACCACTTTTAATCATCGTTTTTTAGCCAGAACATTAAATATGAGTATGTTAGGGTTAGCTTGTAAAATAATTAATGTATTATTTCATTAACGCATTTATACTAATATAAATTTAAATTTTAGTATATTATTTATTCCTTGAATGATTGGAGTTGATCAATATTTAATGGAGGATTGGGGTTTATCAATATTTAATATAACATAATTTATTCTCGGAACAATGTTTTTTGTTTGATTTGAAATATTAATTTGAATGAAATAAAATCTGTAATTATTGGGATATCTTAATTCAAAATCTCAATTTTTGGCATAAGAATCTCTAAATTTGTTAGCAATAAAAATGGATTCGTATTGATGAATGAATTAAATCTTGGCATAAGAATCTCTAAATTTGTTACCTTATGAATCTCCAATTTTTATGGGATATTTCATTAAATTTGGTTCCTAAAGAAAATAAGTGGTTTCAATCACATAATTCATATATTATTTCAATTAAAGAATATAAACCACCAAACAATAGAAAAAATGTTAGGATCTAGGTCATAAAATAATATAGTTTATTATTATTTAAGAAAAGTAAATCAATATATTTACACACAAAATTCATAAATATAAATAATTTATAGAGGATTGGAGTTTATCAATATTTAGTATAACATCAATTATTCTAGGAGAAATTTTTTGTTTGATTGCAACATTAATTGAATGGGAAAAAGAATCCGTAATTGTTGGGATATTTCAATTCAAAATCTCAATATTTTGGCAAAAAAATCTTCAATTTTGTTACCAATAAAAATGAGATTCGTATTTATGAAATAAATTAAATTCTGGTAGAAAATCTCCAAATTTGTAAATTTAAGAATCTCTAATTTTTTTTTTTTGATATCTCACTTAAATTTGTTTCCTAAATAAAATAAGTTGTTTTAATTAAATAAGTCAAATATTATTATAAGTTGTTTCAATCAAATAAGTCATATATTATTTCAAGTAAAGAATACAAACCACCAACAAATAGAAAAAAAGTTAGGATTTAGGTAATAAAATAATGTAATTTATTATTATTAAGGAAAAACAAATAAATATATTTACACACAAAATTTAAAAATATAAATAATTTATGAAGGATTGGAGTTTATCAATATTTATTATAACATCCATTGTTCCCATAACAATTTTTTGTTTGATTTGAAACATTAATTTAAATTAAAAAAACCGTATTTGTTTTTGGCATAAAAACATCCAAGTTTGTTACCAATAAAATGAGATTCATATTTTTAAAATGATTAAATTTTGGCATAAAATCTCCAAATTTGTTACCTTGAGAATCTCTAATTTTTTGGGGATATCTTACTTAAATTTGTTTCCTAATGAAAATTAGTTGTTTCGATTATTATTTAGTTCCTAAAATAATGTAATTTATTATTATTTAAGAAAAGCAAATCAATATATTTACACACAAAATTCATATATATAAATAACTAGTACAACACCCGTGTATTACACGGGTGCTTGCTAATTTTTTCTTAAAATCTAAAATTAATGAGAAAAAGTAGTTGGAATTTTAAATACCTTTTACAAATATATATATATATATATATA